AGAAAAATATTGGACAGTTTCACTTACAGGAGGAATATAGGGGAACAAAATAAGGGCTCAGGAAAAAAATAACAATAATAATTAAATAAATAATAAAATAAGCAGGCTACTATAAATCAGAGACATTCTACAAGGGAGAGGGAGGTAGAGGAATCAAAACAGGGGAGAGAAGAACACAAGGAACTATGGTGATGGTTCACAGGTGATGTGGTGGTGAGAGATTTACAGGACTACACCAGAGGGGAGAAATCCAATACTGTCAAAAATGAACAATGATGTAAGAAAATTTAAAAATGAATAAAAAATAATAATTGGTATGAGCCTCAGCATCTTCATCTATAACATTATGCAGCAGTCCCTACTTCAGGTGTCATAAATATTAAATAGTGTGCATGAAGTACTTGGCACAGTGGGTGATATACCTGGTATACCTTTAACTTATGATACCTCTTAGTATTATTTCTTTCATGCAGAAAAAATTATTATTGAGTACCTCTCTAAGCTTGACTCTGTCCTAGGCATTCATTAAAATGGTGAAGAAACCCTGTATAGTGACACAAAAAAAGGTAGATATAATCTTAAACTGAGATGAGTGCTATGAAATGAAGGTATACAGAACCATGAAATCATGTAAGAGGTGAATCTGGGGCCTCCCTGGTGGCACAGCGGTTGAGTGCTGGGTTGCGAACCTGCCCGCAGCCTCTGCAGCGCTGGTTCAATCCCTGGTTCAATCCCTCGGCCTCCTGGCGAGGGTCCCACATGGCACGCAGACCTCTCCTGCTGTGCCCGCTGCTCCCCTCAGCAGTGTACTTTGTCACTCTGCCTGTTCTGCTCTCTGCTCTGGCTCTGGTGAATTCTCTCACCCTCCCGTGCCTCTGACTGTACCCGGTTCTTGAATAAATAAATAAATCTTTAAAAAAAAAAAATATGGACTTCTGAGGTGATCCATACTTGATTGTTAAAAAAAGAGGTGAATCTGGCCTTGTCTGGAGAGCGGTGGTTGAGCTTGGGGTTAGGAATGTGGTAGAGGGGTCAATGCTCCAACTTTAGGGAAGCAAATACTTTTAGTTACTTGTTCCAGGACTTTAAGTTTCTCCAGGTCAGAAGTTATATTCAGGCAATCACATATTCATTATCTATCTTCCTGTACCCAGCACAGTGACCAGGCTTGCCACAGATACTCATAAATATCTGTGACTGAATGAATTAACCTCTCTGACTCTTACTCTCCTTGTGAAAAAAAAAAGGGAGTATAAAAGGTCTACTTCTAGGCAATGAGGACTACAAAGCACTTGAACTCAACTGCTAGAACTTATGTTATTACTATTATTATCGCTTTATAAATACCTACATTGTAAGCTCCAAGATGGTGGAATATGTCTTATTTAGCTTTCATTACCCCAGAGCTCTCAGCATAGGAAAACTGATCTGCTAAATTCAGATAATACAAGCCGTTATTAAATAGGGATTAAATCAACAGTTAAGGAGACTATGAACCTTGAAAAAAATAAATTACCAAGGGCCTCACTGGTGGCGCAAGGGGTTAAGATATAACCTATGAAGCTATCTGCAGCTGCTGCAGCCACGGATTCAATCCCCGGCCAGGGAGTTACCCACATGGCGTAGCAGACCTCTCTTGACTTACCCACTGCTCCCTTCAGCAGTGTATTTCAGTCAGTCTGCCTGTTCTGTTCCCCACTCTGTCTCTGGTGAATCCTCTCACCCCCCGGGCCTCTGGCCTGTATCCCAGCTCTTGCATGCATAAATGAATAAATCTTAAAAAAATAAAAAATAAATTACCAAAATGATAGGGAATATAATTAAGTTTCTGCAATAGATATAAAATATATGAAAAGAAAAGTCCTACAAAATATTGTAAAACCAAATCAGGTTATGTGAAGAAAAAAAATAACTTAGAACAATTAATAGAGGATATCATGCATGTGCTTAAAAACTCAGCTTTAATATCACCCTTTGAGAGACTACTTAATCTTAGTAACTAACCTCTAGCACACTTCCCTATTTTAATTCCTTGCATAACACATATAATCAAATGATATTTTTCCTTTTAATTGATCAATAAGTGGATCAATTGATTTTGAAATTGCTTGTCTCTCTTAACTAAGCTCTGAACAAGTCAGTTCTAAGATCTGAACTGACTTGTTTCCTTCCTATAGTCACAGCACTTAGAAATGTGACGAGCACATAACTGTTGAACAAATAAGAATCCACTGAATAAAGGGAAATATGCACAAAAATACTACCATGTATTTTTTTATAGATGTGTGTATACCTTTGCAAGAATATGAAAGGGTATTGGAAGCATAAATAAGAATCTTGGGGAGGAGTTGTCAGGGGGTGGGAGGTAGCACTCAGCATGGTGGTTAAACTCAGCAAAAATCCTTATGTGAAATTATTTCTTAAAAAAAAAGAAAAGAAGCACAGATGACAAAAAATGTTCCAATGATGAGAATTTGAGTGTTTGTTACTTTATTCTTTACACTTTTCTTTGTTTTTTAAATTTCTCAAATTTTTAAACAAGGAGAAGTCTGAATAGAGAAGAGTAAATTAACCCTTTGTGGTTTTACAAAGTTAAAACTCTCTGAAGTGCCAATATCTATACTTTATCATCACAATAATTTTGAAATGATTATTACACAGGAGGAAAAAGAGGCCAAGGCTGATGGCAAACATGCTGTGACCCATTCAAGTCAGGCCAATGCTTGGCTGAGAACCTAACCTAGGAATGCTTTCTTTTTCAAGAGATAACGCCTTTGAATCTGAAGGAGAAACAAAAGGCAAAAATAATTAGCTTTGAGTTATTTGCAATAACTGATTCCAAATTGATGGACAGTGGATGAACAAATACTTTAAAACAATGCTCCAAATGACCTTAGGCAAGTTGCCTGAACTTTCCAGGACTTATTCTCCTCACCTATAAAATGGGTATTTATCCACCTTGTAGGATTTCTTGGTGAGAATTACACAATTTAGATATTTTCATATATACTGCATAATGTGTGTACAAGTCCAAGGACAATATCTGACTTTTAGTAGATATTTGATACTAGTTTCCTCTCGGTAACTTAGGCTCCCACATATAATATATCAAACCATTGGAAATTACCAATTTTTGTTTGTAAACACGGTTCAATGAGGAAATTTCACAAGGTTCATTATTCTATGAATGTAAGCTCTATGAATGTAGCAACTGGCTCATCTTGAATTCACATGTGAGAGGAGGCATACCAGGAATTTGAATAAAACTGATTGGGGGCTTGGACTCAAGAGTCTATTTGCAAAGATAGATAAAAGGGATTTGCAAGTGTGTAAGAAGGGAAAGGATAGTCCAATTGGCAGAACTAGGTTTACATAATCAGGATGAGGCAATAGCAAACCAGACAGCTGCTCAATGGCTTTTGGCACCAAAGTATATTGACCAGCTGGGATATCATTAATGCTTAACAGTTTTATTCTTATGACCATATCTTGGCCAATTAAGTTGTCTTTGACCACCAAAGGGTATAATATATTCTGTTGTCAATGCCACATGCGTATCTGTGTAACATATATTCTGTTACGTTGATGTGTTGTAGAATATACACTAAATATACATGCATTTGTTTGTTCAAAATACCAGGTTAAATGGTGTGATTAGAGAGGAATAGAATGAAAATATACATTGACATCTCTGAAAAAAATCATTATTCTGGGAAACACTATTTTTGTGTGTATGCTGAAGTAAAGGGATCCAAATAATTAACATTTTAAGATGAATTTTTAATGACTGATTATTTAAAAAGTAACATGGCTAGGAAATCCAGTTTTGCGTAAGCTCTACATACAAATAAATACAGAAGAAAGTGTTTTTTAAAAGACAGTAATCAGAAAACCTTAACGGAAAGTTGGTTACAAAATCAGAAGAAGCAGAGTTGTGACCATCTTAGAAACGCTTCTAGCTAGGAAATCACCAGGTAGTACCTTTAAATTCTGGGACAGACAAAACAAGTAAGTCAAACTATAAGACAACTGAATACCAAGACATTTCCCACCATGCTTTGCATGTTAAAATTTAATGCATTAAGATATTCAAATTATCTTCAGAACTTGCTATTGTGGCATTTTCAGAATAAAATTTGTCACACAGAGTTTTTAATATGGTAGCCCAAAAAAGTCAACCATACTCAGAACCCTTACTTGGTATTGAATCTGAAAGGCGCTCCTGTACGTAAAAGACTTCATCTGTAAATTGTTTCCATTTTAAATCATTTGAAGTTTATTTAATTTGATATTTACTAGAGTTCCTTGGTTACGTTCATTGGCATCTCTGGATTGAAACTGGTGCTGGTCATATGTTTTTCCTTCCTCCTAATATAGCTACTTATTTAACTGCCAATGATTGTTCCTCTTCCCCCTATGTAAACCAATAAAAGTAACATCAATGTGCTTTCTTCAAAGTCAGAGACCTGATATTAAGATTTTATAAGAGGAGTATCAAAAATAAGGAGGCAACCAAACAAGCACACCTTATATCTATGCCACAATTTAATTACCTGATATAAGTCAAATAAAACACTGCCTGAGATGCAAAGGAATCCTTTCAAAAATAGCCCCCTGCCCTTTTCTCTTTTTTCTTGATGCTTTGTCAATCTATTAAAGAAGCCCATTTTTATAGTCTAGTTTATCTCATTACCTTCCTCAGTTGGAGAACTTTTACCAAAATGTGGAAACAATAAAACATGGCATAGCAGTAACAGAAAGGACATTAATGATCATCTAGTTCAAGATTCTTCAGTTAGTGGCAACATCAAGAGTAGATCCCAAACACATCCTGATAACTAGATAAATACCATTTTTTCTAAATCATTCTAGTTTAATAGCTATTTTTGAAACCTCCTTTCCCTTAAAATATTATGTGCCCACTTAACATTCCCAGACAGAATAATCAGCAATTTCACTATTGTGGTTTGGCTTCACCAAAGTAATAGTTGGATAGCCTTTTAAGTTGAAAAACCTGGGATAAAAGGATCCTGGGCATGAAGTTCTGCTTGGGAGCCGGCCCGGAGGTGCCCATGCTTGTGCTCTGTCTTCACCTTGCACTGGCACTCCTCCACCATCATCACCACCTTGACCACGGAGGCAAGGTCAGTGCAGTTCAGTGACAAGTGCATCATGGTGAATTTGGCAGGTGAGCAGTGGGAGCAGAAGGTAGGGGGTTGCTGCACAGCTCCAGGAAAACTAGCAGACCCACATTTCCCAAAGCAAAGGTTGTTCTGTACAACTACTGTCTCACAGTCTTCATGGGTGATCATCTAAAAGGCAAACACATTATCAAATTATCTGCAGTTCTTTTTTTAAAATATTTATTTATTCATGCATATAAGAGCTGGGGTGCAGTCTAGAGGTGAGGGGGGAAGTATGAAAGGGTTCACCAGAGACAGAGTGGGGAGCAGAACAGGCAGACTGACTGAAATACACTGCTGAGGGGAGCAGCGGGCAAGAGAGGAGAGGTCTGTTGTACCATGTGGGTAGTTCCCTGGCCGGCCCAGGATCAAAATCATGTTGCAATGGCTGGTGATAGCTTGGTAGCATTGAGACTAATCCCTGAGCCACCAGAGAGGCCCTCTGCTGTCATTTCTTCAACACACATGATATAGAAGTCATAAACGATAAGACTGAGGATCATTTCAACTAAAATTCCAAGAACTTTCTAATTCTGGATACATTTTGTAATATGTCAGTAATGGTATCTGTAAGAGCAGAGAGCCATAAATTCCTTTTATTGAGTAAATTAACAAATTAGCCTTTAAGAAAACCCTAAGTTAATATGAGATATTGTACTCTACCCTTCAAACTTTAAAAAAATTTTGTCTAGTTGGATGTTACCAGCTGGAAGATCCTAACAGCTAGTTTCTTACGTAAGTAATTTGCCTTAACTTTCTTCTCTTCACCATATATTGTGCATAATAGATTCTCAATACATGTTTGTTCCATTGGTAGTAGAATAGATCAGAACATCACAAGTTTAATCATACCCTATTTTTCTGGGTCCGTAGTACATTCAAAACTAAGACTTTACTTGGAACAAAGTTGCAACACACATGCTTACAAATCATCATACATTGCATCACCTGTGCCTCCTCCATAACCCCAAACTTAACTTTATGTGCCCTTCAAAATATGATTTAAACACCTTATTTTAGCCTAATTACCATTAGAATTCAAAATCAGAGTTTCAAAGGAAATTTGATTGCCCAATTCTCCAGGCAATTTTCTAATTGCACATGGACTAAAAAGCAGTCATTATTGTTCGATAATTGACTTATTGCTACATCTCCTTGCTTTGCAGGCAGAATACTTAACTGCCTTGCACAGACAATTACCTTATACCATTGCCTGCTTAATTGGGTAGCATTACTGGACTATAAAATTTTACTCTACACTGCATCGTTGCTTTGGGTTCAGTATCTTCATATTTAAGGACCTGATGCAATTTCTCAATTTGATTTAGCTTTTAGAATATAGGGGTTGCCCGAACAGACTGAAGAAAGTAGATGATAGAATACCCTTTTGTCTTAATAGTGTGGAATCAATCATGATAACCACAAACCAATCCATACCCTATGAATTAGGAGATAGTTCTTTCTAAGGGGAGGAAATGTAATGTCTCACCAAGATTATTTTTTCAAAGCTTATGAGAAAATAATTTAAACTAAATCATTTTTTTTTGCTATGGTATCACTAGAAACGATAGGGCGACTTCTGTCTGACAACCTCAATATATTTCACAAGACTCTGAAGTGGTTAGGTGTGAAATACAGGGGATTAGACCATCATAAATGTGTATGAGAAGGTGTGAGGAATAGCCCAGTGCATTCCAGCTTGTCTACAGAGAGCCTGCCTATCTAGCCACAGTAAAAATGTTATGCAGAAATAAAACTAGAGAGAATTTCTGGTGATTGCTCTAAATTCACAGGTTCTAACAGGATACAGCCTTAATTATCTCTCTGAATAGACCACTGCCATAAAAAATATAAAAATAAAACCCTATGAAACAAACCCCTTTGCCATCAGAATGAATGATTACTTGCATTGATAGTACCATTTACCATTCATGCAGAATTTTCGGGACACCAAGAAGCAATGGAAAGTTTAGAAGGAAATGTAGGAAGCATCATCCTGTGCTAAATGGCCAAGGACCAAATCTGGGAGTTAGGGGAGACTCAAGCTCCTGGCAGCCTCTTCCCCCAACCCCTACCTGTCCCTACTCCAACCCTCTCCAGAAACCCTTCCCCCCTGAATAACTACCTGGCTGAAGGGTACTGTCCTACAGGTCTCTCGATGTACTTCATGGCTTTTGATGGGTAAGATGACTCCTTGAGAACCTGGACTCATTCTGAACATGAAGTGGTGCCAAAATTTCTTGGCTTCTTCCCTCAAAGGAGATTTCTCCATTTGCCTCCCATCCTTTGGCTGAGTGAGGGGCTGGGTCCTAGAAGGGATGTGCTGACTGTCCGAGTCCCAAGGTAGGTAGAGTTCTCTCTTGGGCTTCTTCCAGAATCTTCCAAACCTGGACAGCATCTTCTCTCTCTGCCTCTGACCTTTCCCAACAGGACCTTCACCTAACAGGTGTGGCATTGCAACAAATAGATCTGGCTTCTCCTCAGCTTCCTCGTGGTTGCTTGTGGGGAGCTGTCTACGATTCCTTTCTAGAAGCACAAAGGAAACAGGACTCTGACTCTGGGAGCCATCCTTGTGCCACACAGCCTTCCCGAGAGGCAAAAGCACCAGCAGCATCAGTAAGAGGCGAGGCATGCTGTTGGGGCCGAAGCTTCTCAAGTTTCCTTCAGATTCACAGATGATAGGGCCCAAATAAGAGGCTCACTTGCTGCAGGACTGTGAACAAGAGAGTCTATATATAGATACCTGCCTTGTGGAATGGGGAGGCAGGTGGTCAATAGCCAGGCAGAGTAAACACATTTATTGTTTGCTTGAATTATGTAGTGCTAATGGTGTCCTGCCTTCACTCCGGTTTTGTGTATTTTAGAAGACACCAGTGAAAGCCTAGGACCCAGGGGGTAATTAGCTGACACTTGATTGCTGAGATTTAAAGAACAGTATAAGCAAAACAACACATTCTTTGCCCAGATTTCTCATCTGTTATTAGAAAGGACCAGTCAGCTGACATTGGCTGTGCTTCTTTTTGTAATGGGCTAGAATAGACAAGACATGCTAAATGTATCAGATAAAATGTAAAAGCATGTATTTAGCAAAAGCCCAGCCTTTTGTGCTACACACACACACACACACACACACACACACACACACACACACACACACACAAAATGACCCAAGAATTATGTGGATATTGTAAGGAAGGGAAAGGAAGAAATTGAAGACTATTAACTTTGTTGAGCTGACAACTCCCTCTCTTATCAAGATGTGAATGGGGCTATTTATTTCTATATGTTAACAGAGTAAAGGGAATATATATTATCCTTTTCCATGTTCGGAGACTCACAATTCCCAAGTTAATCCCTTCACCTTAAGAGTCAAATACTTGGGGCTAAATTTTACAACTGGTTAGTCATCAGATAAAGTCTTTCAATTATTCACAAATTTTTCAAGAGACTTCTAAGTAACAGGCTGGCAGCTCATCAGTCTTCATTGAGGATGGGGAAGTGGCTGTCTCCAGCCACCCTATTAACTTTTCTCTTTCTTTAAACAAAGAGTCAGACTTGAGAACTGTGGATTCTAAGAACAAGGTTTGATAGCTCTGGGCATGAAGCTGGATAGTCAGTTCTTTATCTTACAGAATCCACATTATCTTCCCTTGCTCTCTAGTAATTAAAGATCCAGTTAAATCAAGATGGAGACAAATGTGAGTGTTTCAAAAAAAAATTTGTTAAGTGACTATCATTTAAAAAGCTCGTTAATCAGGCAAGTATATGGGAAAGAATCATTGACAAAACTGAAAAATCAAATTGAACCCCGTACCATTTGAATAGTGTTTCCATTGCAAATGAGTTCAAGACATGCTTGTTTTCTTCACTTTAATTTAATCACCACATTCTGTGCTTCCAGGAACACAAATTATGCTTATTCCTCTTTTTTCAAAATTGATGTAGCTTTCTTCTCAAGTAGTGACCACTGAAATGTCTTTTACAGATTTGTTCTTTTTAACAGCCAAGTCCAATTTCTGTGACATAAAGCCTCAAATCCAATTACTTGCATTAGTTAATGACTTGTAAACAGAAACCATCACTTTCCCAAAATACTACAAGAGATATATTTTAATGGTACCAAATATTCATAGAAACCATACTGGTATGAATTAAAGTACAGTTGATCCAGATTAAATGAGCATTAGTATTTGACACTTCTCTTAAAGTATTTTAAAAGTTGTCTACTATATTTGGAATTTTAAAAATTCCCCTTAGCAAGTTAATGCAACAGACTTTCCAGAAGTGACTACTGTGGTCCTGATTATAAAGATACGAAAGCCAGCTGTGGTATATCTCCTGACTCCTTTTAAACTTTACTTTTCAGTGCCTAAAGTTCCACTGCCATCAATCACAATACCTAACATCCCTCCAAAGTAAACTGTACCCCAGCAATTCCATTTAGCATCTCAAGTTACTTGTCTCTGAACATGCGACACAACACAAATAATTTCTGTTGAACTGAAATTTGTAGAAAACTCATTTTGTAAAACAGGCATCCGGTTAGATAGCAGGAAATGGTAGAAAGTTATTAAACCCTACTCTCTAGCTGGTTGTATAGTTTATATTATACATTCTATGGCTTTGTTGTATTAGCTGTAGGGGTTTCATTTAACTGTATCATTAACCTTTCTTTAGTCTTAACTTCTCTTCCCTTCTTCTGATCCCAGTTTTGGTGGTTATAGATGTGATTTAAAAACTGCTCATGGAGAATTTCCTTTTGCTATTCTCTCATTCCTGTTGAGAAAACACACAAATACCCCGAAGGATAAATCTGGCAAAGTAAAGCCTTATGTAATGACAGCTATGGAACATATGTCTATCTTCAATCCCTGTTTTTATAGTGAACGGCAGTGGATGGTCACCTTTCACCATTGTGTTCTTTCCAATCAATTCTAGAGCCACGTATGCTGTACCTTACAAACAGCTCTTAAGAACATAAATAAACATTTTGTAGCTTTTGAAAAGCAAAGTTACACTGCCCTTGTGAATGCTCAGCAGTAGCAGGCTTCTAGTTACCTCCCAATTTGGATGAAGCCAAATGGAGGTAGGTCTGGAGGGGCCTCTAGACACAGCAGGAAGCTGGTGTGTGGAGACATTGCCACAAAATGTTGGTGTACTTAGTGCCAGAGGCAGGTCCAGTGAAAGGCAAGCATGAGCTCAGGAGAGCCCCAGTTGGCTAAATCTACTTCCTGGGACAATGTCAAGCTTGTGAGCTGAAATCCAATTTTATAACTTACTCATTCCAATTTCCAACCCATCCCCAACCTGAACTGAAATGTCTGATTTCACTGTCCAGGCTCCCTAGGCACTAAGACATCCTTAGGGCCAGGTGGAATTTCTCGTGTATTTTTGAAAGGTCACTATGCTTGTTGTTTCCTACAGAATCTCAGAAGGGAGCTAAAAAGTGGTCTAGTGCTCTCTGTGGGGGAAACAGAGAGGCTAAGTTCCTTCCTGAAAACCCCAGACTTAAATCAACAAAAGGTGAGAGGAAGTGTTGGGGTAGGAGGTGAGCACAAGAGTTAGAGAAGGAACTGAGAGACAGAAAAAGGGATTTGAGATGATGAGCTTGTGGAAGAAATCTGGGTAGGTGCATGCCATTGCTTTAAACTACCTCTATTTTAAAAAATATAGAATAGCAACATTGTCAAAGAGGTCTGATCATTAAAAAAAAAAAGAGCAAATAACAGAATGAGGAAGAGGGCAGATTAGGATAATTAATTTCTTCTTAAACCGCTTATCATAATTAAATTTAGTAAATTATTCTAAACCTCACATTCTGCTCCCAGCATTCCTTTCCTTGCCACTTTCTATGGAAAGAATATATTGCAAGGGTCACATTCTGGAAAGCTGCCCCATTCATTGGACTCATTCATTCTCTTGTCTTTATTTTATTTTTTTTAAAGATTTATTTATTTATTTATACAAGCACTGGGTACAGTCAGAAGCGCAGGAAGGTGAGAGAATTCACCAGAGCCAGAGGGGAGAGCAGAGCAGGCAGACTGACGAAGTACACTGCTGAGGGGAGCAGCGGGCGGCAGGAGAGGTCTGCGCGCCATGTGGGACCTTTGCCCTGTGGCCAGGGATCGAACCAGCGCTGCAGAGGCTGCGGGCAGGTTTGCAACCCAGCTCTCAACCACTGCGCCACTGGGGAGGCCCTCTTTTCTTTTTTTAAAGATGTATTTATTTATGCAGATGAGAGCTGGGGTATAGACCAGAGGTGGGATGGTGGTGGTGAGAGGATTCACCAGAGAGTGGGGAGCAGAACAGGCAGACTGACTGAAACACACTGCTGAGGGGAGCAGCCGGTGAGACAGGAGAGATCTGCTGCGCCATGTGGGTTGCTCCCTGGCTGGCTGGGGATTGAATTCAGGCCACGGATAGCTTCATAGTGCTGTGCTTAACCTCTTGCTCCACCAGAGAGGCCCAGACTCATTCACTCTTACAGCATATATGTGAGTGCCAAATCTGGGAGAAGTCCTGGGGATAACAGGGTGACTGTATCCTTATCCAGGCCTAGTGGAGTGTGTAATCCAGAGGGAGATCCTAATTGTTCAAAATAAGATACACAAGGAAAACCTAGGCAGGCAACATCTCTCTGCTTATAAGGGACTGTCAGGTAGATTCAAATCTCAATGACACAGAATTGTCACACTGGGTTTCTGCTGATTTTATTTCATAAATATTTGTTGAGTACAAGAAAGCACAATAGATGCTGTGCAAAAATGTATAATGCAAGATAAAGCTGCTGCTAACCTCCTAGGCTTCCTATCCCATGGAGGAGACAATTACTATTATCAGTGCACTTATATATTTTTAAATTGTCACCTATAATGGGCTAAACTGTATTCCCTGCCCTCCACCCCGCTACATCCCTCTAATTTATTTATTGAAGTCCTAATCACCAGTACTTCAGAATGTGATGATTTGGTGATAAGGTTCTTAAAGAGGTAGTCAGGATAAAATGAGGCCCTTAGGGTAGACCTCCTCAGAAGAAGAGGAGATTACAATATTGATAAGCTCAGAGGAAACACCCCGTGTTTGAGATGCACATATGAGATGCTGTCTACGAGCAAGGAGCTGCCTTCAGAGGAAAGTTACGTAATGGACACCTTGATCCTGGACTCCCAGCTTCCAGAACTATGCAAAAATACATTTCTGTTGTTTAAAACCACTCGATGGTACTTTGTTAGGGCACCTGGGGCTGACGAATACCTTACCCAAAGAGACCAAAGCATGCAGTCAATAGAAAAGGACAAATTTAAATGGTGCGGCATGCCACAAAAACTCCCCATTTCTACTTCTAGGCAATATTATCTTTTAAGGTCAAATTATTCTGCTTACAGTTTTAGTAATTTTACTATTCTCTCCAAAACACTCCCAAATTGGGCCTCTCTGGTGGCACAGGGATTAAAGTCTCAGCGCTATCAAGCTATCACCAGCCACTGCAGTACCAGTTCAATCTCCAACCAGAAAGGTGATCCACATGGCGCAGCAGACCTCTCTGGTCTTACCCCTGCTCCCCTCAGCAGAGTATTTCAATCAATCCACCTGTTCTGTTCCCCACTCTGTCTCTGGTGAATCCACTCACAC